CTTTTCTATAAAAGGTATCGTTTTTATAAAAAATACACAGTACGCGAGGGAAGGAAATTAAAGAAATCAAACTTTTCTGTGCATGTAAATACTTAATTTTTTAAAAATGGCAGAAGGAAGGTGGAAAGGAATTACGGGAAAAAACATGTTTTAAGAAATATAATTTTTATAGATTTATTTAAAATAAATCAAAAATCAATTTTATAAAAATAAAACTTCTTAATTTTAAAACTACAATATTTACTTAAGATATAAATTAATATTAGCACATGTACACATTTACATTATTTTTACATCTCGTTCTCTGAAAAATATATTTTACAAAAATTTCTTACAATCTTTGACTTTGAGGAGCGAAAAACTCGATTATTTAAGAAAGATTAAGACCAGAAAATTTATTCCAATGCATAACGTACGGGACCGAATAATGGTTATTAATAAATCTAAGTTTCAGCAATACCGGTGCGCATATCTTTGTTTCATCTCGCGTAACAACGTCGAAATGCTGTGCCTCGAATTGCATTGAAATGTAGATTTATCGATGGACCAGCTTCGTCTCGTCTTGTTCTTTCCTTTTTTATTAACATATTCTTAATACTGCTAAAATTCATTAACCTGCTATTCGATGAATTTAAAGTAATTCCCTTAATTTTACATGTTTCGTGTGTGCATCCTAACGGAGTACGAACAATGTACGCGTAGAATTACGGACCACCGGAAACGAACGATTCGATGTAGCTACCGCGGCCGTAGCTCTCGAGCTCGTCTGTCATATCGCCCAAGAAATTCCCCGTGCGGTTCATACTCATTCGGATCGCCGATACTAACATATATACACGAATCCGTGTCGTAATATAAAACCAGTTTATCCAATAATTCTAAGTAACTGTACAATTTTAATCGTGCTTGTGCCGTTGTGTATGCCGCGATCACAACGTTTGTAAGCGGAAAATGCACCGCCTCTTTTCGGAGTCGCCACGAAACGTATATTACTTCGTCATTTACGGGTAATATACCGGTTATCTAGTGCTCAGGACTCGTAAGCAAAGTCATAAATTGGTGGTGAGATTTTATAATTTCGATATTCCGCAAATTGGATCGTTGGCCGAATTTTTCCCAAAATGAATTTAAACAAAGCTTAGCGACCGAACGTAAATCGGGATTGCGTGCAATGTTTCGCATGTCGAGTGTGATACCCTCGGTTTCCTCATATTCCCGAAGGTAACGTTCCTTAGCATCATGGTCAGCGTCTTCCCTGCATTCGCTTGGCCAACCGCTCGCTTCTTGTTTTAATTGCAAAAAGGTATTAATATATTCGGCAAACAGTCCGCCTTGACGAGTATCGCTATCGTATCGCGCGATTTCATATTCCCAAATCTCGCTCACATGCGTCACGAAATAACCCTTCTCGACGGCTTTGCGTAATTCACCCTCGAATTCTCGATCCGCCGGGCTCTCATGAATACATTCAACTTGTGAGAACGTTTCGCAACAACTCCGACATAACGGAAACAATAATTTACCTTGTACGCGATACGGTAATATCGGATGAAAGAGATCACGTAGTGGGAGTATTTTACATTGCACGAGACCTTCGACCGAGTTGAAATTATAATTTGGTTACCCCAATTAACGAAGAACACTCTTGCCCTACGTAAATTTTAGGATGCCCGATCGGGAAAATGCCGGTTTTCAATAAGAAAGGATAAGACAGAGAAAGACATACGTCGACGTAACGTATTTTTTCCGTACCTGAAACTTCGTATCCCGTGACAATATTTCCCGTGCGTCCACCATAAAACGCTTCGCGAGAAATCGAGAGGAGTGTTCTTTATTAACGGATGATTCTTAAGAAAATTCTGCATTTCTCTATTATTCGAAATTTCTCGGTTGAAGGAACACTCCCATTTCTCCATCACGTGGTAACCGCGTTTACGAAGGCGCCATGACATCGCGAGCGTCCATTCGTAGCGCGCGTCGATCATATCCCCGCGATTCGCAGACGAAAGCGTACTATCGCGATTTACTTTAAAACATGAAGGGTACCCATGCCAGAAACAACCGTGAAATTGTAGCACCCAGCGTCGTGACCCATTTTCCGTAACCGTTTCGTAATATCCATCAACGGGCGTGTCATCGACTTTATATTCGCTGCCTCGCCCCGCGTGGATAATGGGATGTCCGAGTTCGCGTTCCATCCATACCAGTCACTGCAGAGCTTTGTGCGATTGCCTGTCAACGTTTCTGTAACCGCCCGTCGGAATGACTCCTATTTCCTCCTTACGCAAAAAGTTTTTACGAAAAACTCTCATGCATGTGGAAGCGATAGTCGTACATTCCTCAAACAGACACACGTTTCCACATTCTAAAAATATTTTTCTAAAACTCATGCACGCTCGTCGAAGAATATCTATGTCGTTTCAATATCTGATAATTTCGCGTTGAAAGTCAAAAATATAATTTTCACCAACCATTTTCGCGTGCCATACGTGAAACTTTTCGCGTTCTTCCGGCGACATCGTGATCGGGAGAATAATATCTAGCATTGGGAATTGATCCTATATACGACTGATTATCGATAGTATTAAATAAGTGCGGGAAACAGCCTTTATTCGACGTATCGCTCAGACCAATGGCCTTCGGTAAATCGGATAAACGCATCGGCATATAATTAATGCTCGATAATCGATAAACTTCGTATGTCATTACGACGATTTTTGTTCCGTTCAAAATAACGCGCGGTTTATGGGTGCTCTTCGGATTTTCTACTAAATATTTATTTTAAGATAAATTGCCCGTCGAATGCTTTCGCATTATGAGCGATACAAATAATTTGTTTGAAACATTTTGTCGTTCGCATTGCGAAATCGACAAATTGTTTCACGAGGTCAAGACGGAATACGAACTCGCGCATTCCGCATCATCGGCAGCGCACCGTCATGTCGTCTTCGTTTGCACATCCTACGCAAATTTGTTGCGCTGTGCAAAGAATCGGTGGATTCTTACGGTTTCGGTACCTACGATCGTCTTGTCTTGTCGCGTTTCAAAATCGTAAAATATAAACGCGACACGACCATTTGTTTGTTCGTTCATCACAACGTTATCATTTTCATTTTCACCCCCCTTTTTTTCTGCTCGCATTATCATGGTACTTGTACCTTCGCCGGGGTCACTAGCTTTACGAGCAAGAGGTCGCATGAAACATAGATGATTTGACGGCTGTAACGAACGACATGTTTTACAAATGACCGTGTCGCATTTATGCTACCGTGTTTGCACATATAAATCGCAATTGCTAATTTTAACGGAAATACATATACTCGCGCGAGATTTCCCGTTATATGATTTTTTCGCTCGATGATGCTCGAAGCAAGAATTACCGAAAAACTTACGGTTATACGCTTCGCACCTAATTATTTCTCTATCATGAATTATGCACGGAGGTAAGGCGCGACAACGAGGACATTTTTTTGCGCAACGATGTCCCCTATCATTTCAAAAGCCCTTGTTGCACGTTTCATAGTAACCGCCACGCGAACCGACTGCAACTCTTAAATTTAATATAGGGTTATAATGATGCGAATCCTCGTAATACATTATATTTAATGTATACGAAGGTTCGCGTCCGAGGGGGGCGAGTAATGCGCGACCGTCGTACCTCAGTTTTTCACCTTGGCCAAAACTACTAAAATTATTTTAGCGAATATAAATTATTATAGCGATATTTTCCGCAGCGAGAAACCATTAAAAACGCTCGATTTCATTATATCCGCAACCTTTCTCGGAGATCGCGATATCCACGCTCCTCGTTAACTCAATCGTCAACTCACGCTGTAATGAAGAACTTGCGTATCTTACGGATTCCTATCGCTCATGCAACTCTCCTGTGCGCAGAGTACCACATTCGCAGTAAATCCTTGCCGCTACGAGGGAGCAAGGAAAGTACAGATTGTCGGAATTTTTTATTTGTAAAATCGAGCGTTTCGCGACATTTTCTCGCGTTAATTTATTTGATCCTCCTCGCTCCAAAGGTACTGCTACGTTAAAAACGCGTATGGTGAAATCCATCGCGATATCGAAACCCCCGGCACTTTGCGCTACCGAACTCGAGTTTCCATATGTCCTCGTAAGTTAAGTCTCGCGCCGGACGAAACGAAAGATCTGCCGGGCCATGCGATAAATTTGTCGAATCAAAGAATAACTCCATGTAATCGCCCAGTCCGCTCAAACGTATCGCATACGTGTGGATTTCGCGAAACGCGTTTTCTAAATAATTCACGATATCACTAACACCTTCCACGAGAGGACGTATTGCGAATGTCACTTCTCTACCTAATACTTCAAATTTTTGAAACTTTCGAGAGTTTTCCCGTAATTCAATATAAATGAAATTTTCACTTATTGTGTCGCTACGCGACCGCGGCATCCTCGTCAGTGCTCCTGCTGCTGCTGCTGTTGCTGATGCTGCTGCTGGTGATACTGTTGAAGATCCGAATAGTTCTGAAGCCGATGTAAATAACGATCTTCTTGTTCTTCTTCGTGTGAAATGCCTCCTCCTGTTTGTACTGAAAATGGGAAACAAAAAATATTAATGATAAATATTTTAATTATACTCGATTTTTATGTTAGCGAATAGATTCCAGCATACCGAAGGTATCTCTTACCTTGAGCTTTCCTCTTCGCTTTTATAGAGCTCTTATAGAACTCAGAGCTTTTATAGAGTGTATTAATCTAGCAAAAAATATTTAATCATTATAAATATCGGGAAGAATAAATTATCTTAAAATTTATAAATAATATTAAATTTACCTTTATAATTTTTCGGAGAATAGCCCGTCCGTGTTTCGCACTGATGGAAAACCTCGATCTCTTCTTCTAAAAGCTCATCCCACATTTGCTCAAAGGCTCTTCTCCTGTTTTCATTTTCTTCAGCCTCGCCATCGGCTTCTTCTTCGTCATCGTCATCTTCTTCTCCTTCTCTATCTTCTTGTTTTTCTTCGTCAACTTTTTCTCGTTCTTCATCTACATCTTCTTGTTCTTCTTCGTTTTCCTCCTCATTTTCTTCTTTCCCATATTCGGATTCATCCAGGTCGTTTGCTTGTACTAAAAAAGAAATATCGTTATTATTATTATTATTATTATTATTATCTTTTTTTTCAAGAATTAGCTAATACGAGTTTTATAACTTTTATTATTTTAAATAATCACTCACGCGATGTGTAAATTTCGGTGTCGGCTTCGCTCAGAGTCGACTCCTCATAGATATTTTCTTCCGCATCTGAAACAAAATTAAGCTTTTATTAATTGAATTCGATATTCAGTGAGATAATTTGGAAAGCAATATTTGCTATTTTCTTACCTTAAACTAAATCAACCGTTGGGATATCCTCCTCCTCAGGTTGCACGTCTATCCGCATTCGCACTCGTCCTAAAAATTCGATATTTTAATTTAAAAATCTGA